AGGAAACAAGAGATAGCCTAGTAGTTAATGGATTAATTTAATGTAATCAATCGCTGTGCATGTGTGTCAGTTTTGTTGAAACGCAAACACCGATAGGTCGGGATAAGTTTGAGGATTAGTTGGCCACTTGCTTAGTTGATTGGATCAGCAAGAGACTAAACAGTTTCTTGTTAGGTTGTCAGCATGCATATGGTGGTTGAGAATAGCTCGTCTTCTGTAAGATCAGGAAAATGCTCTAACCCTTTTGGTTATCAATTGATAAATGTGCTACTCCTTGTATTTAATTAGGGCATGTTTGGCTTGTGACTAAAAAAAGGGGCATGTTCGGCTCCATGCTCTGGCACCAATATAGTAGTACTCCCTCCGCCCCAGATTATTAATTAGGCCAGCTAGCCATCAAACCGCACCCATATTTTTAGGTCCCATCCAAATCACGAGCTCCTTGTAATTCGTTCATGCTCTCGGTAATTAATGCTAGCGGAGCCATGCAACGAGAGGAGAGAAAACTATCGTGGGTTATCTAAATCCAAAAGTAAAGCATGCAGCCAATCCGTGCGCTTTCATGGGCTAGTGCCTAGAATTTTAAGTAGATTATAAAATTTAAATGTTATATTTAACTTAGTTGATGAAGAGGCCGAAAAAGGGTTGTAGACCAAGACTAGCCACAGTGGGGAGTAACTTAGAGTAGTAACATGCATATGTTACTACTCTATGTTACTACCTCCACAATGGAAAGTAATGTGGTGTCATGCAACACTTCATTTTTTAAGTTGTAAACTCATCTTGTTTTGGTATGTGTGATGTTATTCATACTACTAGTACCTCCGTCCTGGTTTATAGGTCCCCTTTATAGTTTGTGCCAAATTTTGACTAAAGATTTAACTAACAAAATGTTAATGCATGTCAAGAAAAATTATCTCATTGGATTCTTATTTGAACATAGTTTTCAAAAATATAATGTTTGGCGATGTGCGTGAATATTTTGTTAGTTTAATCAACGGTCAAAATTTGGCACTAAATACAATGGGAACCAATAAACCCGGACGGAGATAGTAGTAACTAGCTATGTTACCACATCTTTCTCTTTTTTCATTAATTACATGTCACATCATCTATTTTGTATAAATATGTGTGATGTTATCATCTATATTACTCCCATTGGGGGCAGTCTAAGGTCTGTTTGGTTCAGTTCCTGGACCTCATGCCTGGGAAAAATCAATGCCAAGTGTTGGCCCGGGAAAAAGAAGAAATTTGCCTGGCCAGGCATGTGTGTATCTGTTGTTTGGTTGGAAGCCTGGACTGGGAGAAATGTTTAAACATTAAAAATTACAGATTGGCAGTGTGATGTGACCGGGTGTACAGCATGCACGTATCAAGTACGGGCTAAACAAGATACCTGAAACCCAGGCGTCTGGTTCCATCCGCTTGGACCAGGCTAAACAAGTTGCCTGAGAACTGGCCAGGCTAATCAAGAGCAGGTGACCACCAGGCCAGGCATGTGTCTCAGATTTCAGGTTGCAAACCAAACACCACCCAGACACGTCTCAGGCAGCTTCCAGGCCAGGCCAATGTGCCCAACACACCCTAATAGCATGGTTAACACATAGCCAGCTGCTAACTACTCCCTCCGTCCCTAAATATAAGTTTTTTTAAAGATTACACTATGGGAGTATATGTAGGAACAGAGGGAGTTTATGTTATTGCCATGTCATTTATCGCCATGCTTATAGCCGGCTTGTATGATGGTTGGGTATAAATATGTACTCCATCACAGTTTATAAGGCACACTTTCGTTTACATGCATTTCCAAAATATGCGAGGTTTAAGGCGCGTTGGCATTTACTCCTTAGAGTAGTTAATTAGACTACTAGTACTAGGCAGGCGTACTTAGTTGCATGCATAGTGGGAACGGCTGGGTGTGCACACGGGTGGGAATTGGTCTCCACCACTGCATGCATGCGGACGACTCGTTTACTGGCCGGGTGGTATACTGTACATTGATTTCTGAGCTAATTAGGCGATGTGGTTTAATTTACGCAACTATTTTTCAGTCTGAGGGGAAAGGAAACTGGAGCCAATCATGGATCACCTTAGTCCTAGAGATTTCTGATGCGCGCCTTATAAACTGTGACGGAGGGAGTACTAATTTGTTGATACATGACCCACATCATTTTCTCACAAAGTCTCTAGAAATACGTGCTACAGCCTGCTGTGAACTAGTAGCCCGCTTCTCTTCTCTTTTCCTCTTCCCTCTGTTCCAACTCAACAAAAGTATAATATTTGGAGTTTTACAGCTCGCTTTCATCACCTCGTTGTACGTGCTCTAAGATACAGCTGAACAGGCTTCAAGAAACTATAAAATTCTAAGGTGGGTCATGTATTAATAAAGTAATACATATGAAACTATACAACTGTGTGGTGAGTCATGTATTAATAAAGTAATATATATGCAACTATAAAATTGTGATCTGGTCATGTATTAATAAAACAATACATATTTATAGTTATACGTACCGGCTATTAGATTAATTATAGATGACATGTCAATAAGCTTTAGGCAACAGTTGGCTCTATTATTGTCACTGCTCTAATAGGAGGGTCTGGCACAGAATCAACAGGACGTGGGCTCTCAATTAGTTAGTGCTTTTTGTGGCAATGTCCAAAAGGCGTCTTGGTCCTGGAGTTTTGGCCGGATGGCCCTTAAAACCTGGATGGAGGTAGTAATGATAGGAGATGATGAAGGTTCGGCATCTTTTCTCGTTGGTGCATCCAAAATTTTGTTTTGCAATAGGTATTTTCCTCCAGGGATAAGTTCCAAATTCAATTTTTGAGCTAAAACTACAATATTGCTACACTAACTTTCACATGTAGCAGTGTATGACACAAACGAACATGTTTTTCTTTGAAAAGGAGGGCATTGCTCCGGCCCCTGAATTATTTGTTACACACAACCATTTTGATTGAAGTATCGAGTAAAACATACCACATTATAGGAGCACCATCCAAACAAATTGAACATAGCTCGCATGATCATCTCTCATTGCCTGCACCTAGTCACTATGGACGCTCCAGCCTCTGAATACTACAGGGAACACCATATATGGACCCATCCTGTAGCTAAGCTGCAAAAAGAAAATTAGAAGTTTCGGTCAGCTAAAAGCACACTCGCTGAAGTAATTCTAGATCGCCGACAATAAATCACAAACTCACACATGGATCTGAGCTTTAAGTTTGTGTTAAACCCTAACAATCAGTTTCCAATTTTGTTGTTGTTGCTGTTAAGCGATAATGGTGCACAAGAAGAGGGTGGAAAATTGCCATGAAAGGAACATACGATCTGTTGTTTCCTCCTGATCACAAAAATGACATTTTTTGCTCGCTTGCTATCTATGTTTTGCCAAGTTGTCTTTCGTTAAGACAGCATCTCAGTCCCACAATCACATAAATCTTTAATTTAAGCAGTACTTTAATTTTCCAAATATAAATCTTTGGAAGGTAAGTCCAGTATTAACGAGGTTCGTTTATGCTCATCGGATTGCCAAAATAATATGAATCCACAATAATCCAACATTTTTGTACCTCCTTGCGTATTTGAATGAAGGATCGAATAAAATATCAAAGACTGGTGAGAACAATCTTCATTATGACAATGCAGCCCTTATTATAAATTATCAAATACGATAGGAGCCTTCCCTTCCAATTATTATGCTTTTTTCGGTCCTTCATGCCCTTACTCTCTATTCAACACCTCGCGTAATGAATTGGGATTCCTAGGTGTCGTAATGGTAGAGATTCAACTCACAACTGGAAAGTTATTTATAATGATGCTCAACTTTTTTAAACTCACCAGAGCAGAAGAGCTCATTTTTGTGGAATTTCATCTTGGAGGCGCGAAAACTTCATCTGCATAGCTTGTTGCAAGAGTGGCTATTTGATCTTGTCGTTTGAACTTGCCATTGGCCTTGTCAAAATCAACCTTAAGATAACTTTATCGAAGTTCTCAGAGTGCGTCCCATGAATTTTCTCATGCAGAATAACAACTCCTTCCAGGATGTGACTTCCTAGCATGGAAGTTGAGTTTGTCGGACGAAACACTTTCGATGCGACTGTGTTAGCCTATTTGTGCTGACTTCGGCTAAAATCAAAATTATTCAAAAATACTCAAAATGTACGTGTACTATCTGACCAAAATTTGTGAATTTGCTTTTTTTGTACAGCTCTGTTCGGATGTCATTTGAGAACCAAACTTGGACAGAGCCTCTAATATTTGTTGATACTCATTTGCAAAAAGTTTCATATTTTTGCTACCTATAAAAGAGCAGATTCAACTCAATTGTTTTTGTATGATTTCTTGCGTGGGTGCACCGAGGGTGGGTTCAGCCACTACTTTCCCCATATATAGGCATGAATGGTTGAATCTACTCTTTTATAGGTAGCAAAGCAAATGAGTAATGGTACACCTACATAATCATAATTATGTGATTAACGTAATAATTAACGTGGGAACATGTGAGGG